TAACAAATTCAGATTAAATCTGTTAAATTACTTGATGGAAAAATAGTTGGATGGTCTCAAATTATTTTCTTGGATTCCTATGCTCCAATTTTTATGTCAAACATCATTCCATTATATCAATAATACATAAACTAGAGTTACACGTTAGAGACAACCTTATCAACACAGGATATAAAGGCATTACAGCTGTAACTTTATTGTAATCCTTACTTTGGATCACTGATGTTATCTTTTGATTTTTAAAGAAAATAGAGGTCCATCAAACAATCACACAAAAAACATTTCCAGCTTTAATATTTTGTTCTGTGGTAAAATTGTTTGTGCTTGCTGCTGGAGAATATATCCCTTTAAGTATCACAAAATTGCAGTTCTTTTGTGTAGCTTGAAATGCATTCTTCATAGACTAGGATTTTACATCTGCTGCAATTTCCATGGACTTGATTTGTCAGATTAAATAAACTAGTGATTCCTCAATGAATTTCTGAGGCTCTCTCTGGATAACACAAGAAAAGAATCTAATTCAAAATATGTTTTTCTTTCCTATTTATTTTGTCATAATAGGAATATACATTTTTAATTCATTCAGAGGTACATCCTTGTCCCATTTAAGTCAATGGCAACATTCCCATTGACTTCAGTGGGATCAAAATTTGGACCTAAATAAGTGTTACATTTTTTATGTATGATCACACATTTAATATTTGATGCCTGAAATGTATTTCTTTACCCTGTACATTTGTTAACATTACCAAAAGTGTCCTATTTGGCCATCAACTCTAGAAGATTACTAGCTAGTGCAGTGATAATGACATTTATAATGTAAGGCCCAGATCCTGCAAACCCTTAATTATGCAAGTAATCCCTGATTAGTGCACACTGAAATCAATTGGACCACTCAGTAGATAAGGAGTACTCACATGAGTAAGTGTTGAGAGGAATCATAATTTAAAGCCAGTTCCTCAGTTTAGCACCCAGTCTGAGAATCTGGGTTGGGTAGGTAGATGAAGGGTGGGAAGGAATCCTTCCCCTATCTCACACTGCAGAACTACTCTGCAGGGGCTGTTTCAACCCAGTGACTGTGGTCTTAAAAGACACACACACACAAATGCACACACTCCTTTACCTCTACCTCCAAGAGCAACAAAAGATCCACACATGATCAGTTCATCTGGCTCCAGATCTGCATGCAGGAAGCCCTCTGTGGTCATTGAAGAAGGACTTGGATTTGCTTTCTAGCATTTCAAGTTTTGGAATAACCTTATTATTTGGAGCCACAAACACAAGAGAAACAGAGAACACTGTCTTTAAAAGTCCCTCTTTTTGTTACATACATGTGCAATGGAACCCCCCCTGCAGTGGAATTCTTCACTGTTATACAAATAATAATAAAATGTTGGCACAGCTATGGTTCCTTCTGCTCTATGTTTAAGACCCATATTCATTTGTTCAGCATATACAAGTCTGCCCTCTCCTTCATAGTTTTCAGGTAGGACATTGAACTACCAAGATGATGTCATCATGGCATTTAGCTTTTTCTGTTCTTCTATGACTTTAGCAATCTACCCAGCAAACAAAGGGGCTATTCATTCAGTATTTTACTCTCCTGGCAGGACCCAGTTGCTTTATGGAAACAAGAAGAGTTGAACATGCATACTTCTTTCCTTTGCTTAAGCAGCCTGAAAGTTGGCAAGTTCTAGAGGCTAAAATAATCTAGGGAAAAAAATCAAAGGGAGTTAGATATCCACTGGCTCACTCTAGATTTATGAATTATTTTACAGTTCTTTTTCACTTGCTTGACACTTTGCTCAATCAGCTAATTAGCCATCTGCCATGAATTCTGTTTGTTTCAAATCTATAGCTATAGATCTTTGTGGAGAAGTCATTTTTTAGGGAAAACTTTATATTTAGTGAATATATTATACTAGGTAAGCATTTTCCAGAAGATTTAAATAAGTTAGAATAGTGAGAAACATTTTCTTTTCACAAAGAGTTAATTCAGACCTCAGACAGAGGTTCTTGACTTTTCTTGCACATTTGTGCAAGGAGGAGATGGGCTTTCTGTGCCTGACTCATCCACCTGGGCAGGTGTGTACTCCCACTAGCAAGGTTGGATATCACAAGATAAGCATAGACATGTCTATGGCCCTTCAGCGCTGGTTGGCATTCTATAGCGACACTGGAGAGGAGCACGCACTGCAACCATTTAAAGGGGATCATAGAATCATAGAATATCAGGGTTGGAAGGGACCTCAGGAGGTCATCTAGTCCAACCCCCTGCTCGAAGCAGGACCAATCCCCAACTAAATCATCCCAGCCAGGGCTTGGTCAAGCCTGACCTTAAAAATATCTAAGGAAGGAGATTCCACCACCTCCCTAGGTAACACATTCCAGTGTTTCACCACCCTCCTAGTGAAAAAGTTTTTCCTAATATCCAACCTAAACCTCCCCCACTGCAACTTGAGACCACTACTCCTTGTTCTGTCATCAGCTACCATTGAGAACAGTCTAGAGCCATCCTCTTTGGAACCCCCTTTCAGGTAGTTGAAAGCAGCTATCAAATCCCCCCTCATTCTTCTCTTCCGCAGACTAAACAATCCCAGTTCCCTCAGCCTCTCCTCATAACTCATGTGTTCCAGTCCCCTAATCATTTTTGTTGCCCTCCGCTGGACTCTTTCCAATTTTTCCACATCCTTCTTGTAGTGTGGGGCCCAAAACTGGACACAGTACTCCATATGAGGCCTCACCAATGTCAAATAGACGGGAATGATCACGTCCCCCGATCTGCTGGCAATGCCCCTACATATACATCCCAAAATGCCATTGGCCTTCTTGGCAACAAGGGCACACTGTTGACTCATATCCAGCTTCTCGTCCACTGTAACCCCTAGGTCCTTTTTCTGCAGAACTGCTGCCTAGCAATTCGGTCCCTAGTCTGTAGCGGTGCATGGGATTCTTCCGTCCTAAGTGCAGGACTCTGCACTTGTCCTTGTTGAACCTCATCAGATTTCTTTTGGCCCAGTCCTCTAATTTGTCTAGGTCCCTCTGTATCCTATCCCTACCCTCCAGCGTATGTACCTCTCCTCCCAGTTTAGTGTCATCTGCAAACTTGCTGAGGGTGCAATCCACACCATCCTCCAGATCATTTATGAAGATATTGAACAAAACCGGCCCGAGGACCAACCTTGGGGCATTCCACTTGATACCGGCTGCCAACTAGACATGGAGCCATTGATCACTACCCGTTGAGCCCGACAATCTAGCCAACTTTCTATCCACCTTATAGTCCATTCATCCAGCCCATACTTCTTTAACTTGCTGGCAAGAATATTGTGGGAGACCGTGTCAAAAGCTTTGCTAAAGTCAAGGAACAACATGTCCACCGCTTTCCCCTCATCCACAGAGCCAGTTATCTTGTCATAGAAGGCAATTAGATTAGTCAGGCATGACTTGCCCTTGGTGAATCCATGCTGACCGTTCCTGATCACTTTCCTCTCCTCTAAGTGCTTCAGAATTGATTCCTTGAGGACCTGCTCCATGATTTTTCCAGGGACTGAGGTGAGGCTGACTGGCCTGTAGTTCCCAGGATCCTCCTTCTTCCCTTTTTTAAAGATGGGCACTACATTAGCCTTTTTCCAGTCGTCTGGGACTTCCCCGATCGCCATGAGTTTTCAAAGATAATGGCCAATGGCTCTTTGCATTTCTCTATTGCCCCTGGAAGTATGTGCTGCCATGTGCTTCAGCCACTGCTGCTGGTATTTTTCCCGCTATACACCCTCTTAATACGGCATGAGCCGGTAAAGCCACATTCTGGCCCTAAGTTATTAACTGGTATTCGTTTAAATTGTGTTGTCTTTCAGTTTGCTAAACATGTTAAGAGTATGATTTGTGTAAGACTCTCTCCTTTTGTACTGCAGTGTACAATGCAGGTTGAAGAAAGGGAAGCTAAGATGCAAATCAGAGACCTCCATTTTTCAAGATTAAACATTTGTTAATTTTTAGGCAACACATTCCTTAGCATTTTATTGAAGAGGAAGTTTAAGATTAAAATTTAGGGGCAAAAATTCTCCTCTCTGTTGTGGATAGCTAGTGCCTGTTCATCACTCACTCCACATATGGAACTGGTCTTCCTGGCAATGGAATTGTATCCTAAGACTTTAGGTACTTGAATACAGAAAACATTTGTCACTTGCAATCAACGAGAAAATATACAGTCACTTGTTTTCTGGTGTCAAGATTACTCTTCCCTACTGTGGGTTTTTGGCACTGTTACGAATTATACCTGATAGGACACGCACACAACTGCTGCGAATTATACCTGATAGGTCACGCACGGTTCGAATCTAGGCTGAGGCACATGAACAAAGTCCACAACTGCAGAGTTCCCAAAAAACACCAAGTTTATTACGCTCGAGTGTGGTGCCCCCCTGCTAGCCAGGAGGGGACCCCGAATACAGATTATACAAAGGTTATATACTTTTTAGCAAAGCGTGTTGCCCTCGTGCATCAGAAACCTTAGCCAATAAACATACTCTTTTCTTATCTACCACCTATCCCTGCTTGGTGCATTCCTCATGCTAAACTAGTATGTTAATTACACAGCACGGTCCTAAAGCAATGCATCAGTAACTTTTATTATCAGGATGGGAGGCCTCACATCAAAGGCCAGGAGATAGGGATTTAGGTACAGACAAAGAACAGATACCGGGAGTCAAGACAAGCTGGAGACAAGGAGGAGGATTTTCACCGGAATGCAGTATCTAAGGAACACTCCTCCTGGTGCATGATGTGCTTGCTTTTAGACAATGGTGGGCCCCAAACCAAAATGGAGTCACATGTGCTAACTTTTCCTTAACAGCACAAAAAGTTAGCAATGAGATTAAATTTCTTAAGACACAGGTAACTTCTGCGTTACATAAAATGCATCCTGTTTAGCATCTTCCTGGCACCTGAGTTTTTTAACAGCTATATAATTTAAAAGAAAACCTGCTTTTACTTTCCAGATTATACCAGTGTCACAAAAGATCAGAAGACGCTATTCTCTGCTGTCAAAAAGCTCTGAGCTATATTGAGAGGAGTAAGGGTGAAAGCAATCTGGAATGTATTCCTGTACACAAGAAAATGGCAGGAGTAGCACGGGTTCTTGGGGATTATGCAACAGCAATCCAGCATCTTGTAAAGGTAAAGAAGGTTTCAAGTAAGGCATTTTGCTAAATGTCATGGTTAATAGATAAGCAAATCATCACCGTAATGAGGCTCATGCACAATTAGTAAATACATGTCTTTGCTGCATTTTTTCAAAATATCATTAGTTCCCGTTAAAGGATTAAATGATACACAGTCAGCAGCCAAGGCAGTACATTAAAAACCTAACTCCTGTTAATAATAATGGGATTTGTGCATCTAAACCACCATGGAGAGCACTGAAAATTGCCCGGGATGCTTACAAACACTAATTGTGAGCCTAATCCTGTAAAGTTCTAAGCACCTTGCAAATGGCAATCAGAATCCTTAACTCCTATAAAAAGACACTCAGTACCCTGCAGTATCAAGTCCTATATTACTACTAAGAACATCTGAAACCATCAACACAGCTGGTGGTGGCTGGTTTGGTTTTGGTTTTGTTACTTTTCCCAAAGAAAGATAAAGCTTGAGAGACTTGTAAAGAGCTAGATACTTACACACATAGGTGGCACTCAGTGGGTGTTTGGTGGAATATGTGAAATGAGTCAGTTGTGTGTTTCCTACCGGGACAGAAGTTTCTAAGTATTATTAAAACAAAGTCCACCATCACAATGACAATAATTAGCATCTTGCTGTAGTCTTGGCAGAGCAGCTTTGCCACTAGTAGACATGGAGTCTGAAAATGCTTTTTACTTACTAGAGATGATCCCTTTGGGTTTGAATTGAGATACGTTGCTGAGGCAGTGTTTTATGGAAGCATAAGAACGGCCATACTGGGTCAGACCAAAGGTCCTTTTAGCCCACTATCCTGTCTTCCAACAGTGGCCAATGCCAGGTGCCCCAGAGGGAATGAACAGAACAGGTAATCACCAAGTGATTCATCCCCTGTTGTACATTCCCAGCTTCTGGCAAACAGAGGCTATGGACACCATCCCTGTTCATCCTGGCTACTAGCCACTGATGGACCTATCCTCCATGAACTTATCTAGTTCTTTTTTGAACCCTGTTATAGTCTTGGCCTTCACAACATCCTCTGGCAAAGAGTTCCACAGGTTGACTGTGCGTTGTGTGAAAAAATAATTCCTTTTGTTTGCTTTAAACCTGCTGCCTATTAATTTCATTTGGTGACCCCTAGTTCTTGTGTTATGAGAAGGAATAAATAACACTTCCTTATTTACTTTCTCCACACCAGTCATGATTTTATAGACCTCTATTATATCCCTCCTTAGCTGTCTCTTTTCCAAGCTGAAAATTCCCAGTTTTATTAATCTTTCCTCATATGGCAGCCGTTGAATACCCCTAATAATTTTTGTTGCCCTTTTCTGAACCTTTTCCAATTCCAATATATCTTTTTTGAGATGGGGCGACCACATCTGCACGCAGTATTCAAGATGTGGACATACCATGGATTTATATAGAGACAATATGATATTTTCTGTTTTATTATTTATCCCTTTCTTAATGATTCCCAACATTCTGTTCACTTTTTTGACTGCCGCTGCACATTGAGTGGATGTTTTCAGAGAACTATCCGCAATGACTCCAAGATCTCTTTCTTGAGTGGTAACAGCCAGTTTAGACCCCATCATTTTATATGTATAGTTGGGATTATGTTTTCCAATGTGCATTACTTTGCATTTATCAACATTGAATTTCATCTGCCATTTTGTTGCCCAGTCACCCAGTTTTGAGAGATCCTTTTGTAGCTCTTCACAGTCTGCCTGGGACTTAATTATCTTGAACAGTTTTGTATCATCTGCAGATTTTGCCACCTCACTGTTTACCCCTTTTTCCAGATCATTTATGAATATATTGAATAGTACTGGGCCCAGTACAGACCCCTGGAGGACACCACTATTTACCTCTCTCCATTCTGAAAACTGACAATTTATTCCTAACTTTTTTTTCCTCTCTTTTAACCAGTTACCAATCCATGAGAGGACCTTCCCTCTTATCCCATGGCAGCTTATTTTGCTTAAGAGCCTTTGGTGAGGGACCTTGTCAAAGGCTTTCTGAAAATCTAAGTACTACTATATCCACCGGATCCCCCTTGTCCACATGCTTATTGACCCCTTCAAAGGATTCTAGTAGATTGGTGAGGCATGATTTCCCTTTACAAAAACCATGTTGACTCTCCCCCAACAAATTATGTTCATCTATGTGTCTGACAATTTTGTTCTTTACTATTGTTTCAACCAGTTTGCCCGGTACTGAGGTCAGGCAAATTGGCCTGTAATTGCCGGGATCACCTCTGGAGCCCTTATTAAAAATTAGCATCACATTAGCTATCCTCCAGTCATTTGGTACAGAAGCTGATTTAAATGATAGGTTACAGACTACAGTTAGTAGTTTTGCAATTTCACATTTGAGTTCCTTCAGAACTCTTGGGTGAATACCATCTGGTCCTGGTGACTTATTACTGTTTAGTTTATCAGTTTGTTCCAAAACCCTCCTCAAATGACACCTCAATCTGGGACAGTTCCTCAGATTTGTAAACCTAAAAAGAATGGCTCGTGTTTGGGAATCTCCCTCACATCCTCAGCCATGAAGATTGATGCAAAGAATTCATTTAGTTTCTCCACAAAGGCCTTATATTCTGCAGTCAGAATAAAAATGAAACTGAAAATCTCCATTAATGAGGTTGACTAGAAAACAGTAACCATTCTGCCTAAACTCAGAAATGTACTGGATCACCATTACACTAGAAAAATTCCTGGTGCTTTGCCCATGATACTTGGCAAACATCCCCTGTGCTCCCTATGCTGTAGCAAATTGCATTTTTCAGATCATTTCACAGCTGACTTTATTTCTGCTGCTGTCTGCATTCCTCCTCTCCCACTGCACCATTTACTCAGATTGTCTTGGGATGGACTACATCACTTACATGCAAGAGGAAGGGAAGAAATGAAAGCAATTGTGTTGTCTATACTAGGAGTTAAAGATGTATTGTTAGAACATGCCAGCTAACAAATTCTAAAAGTCTAGCGTAGATAAGGCCATGGAGACTTTAACACTTGATAAATTGTTCAAATTAAAGCATAGACACTTCCCTGTGGGTCACTTTGACCAGAAAATGTGTTAAAATACAACTTGCCCTATCTACGCTTACGGTTTAAGCATGTTTAGGCTGTGTTTGCTAATCTGTTTTTTTAACACCACACACTAACACCGTTGTCAATATTCTAGCGAAGGCCTAAGGGGAAAGCCTGTGTATCTGAGAGACTAAATTCTCTCCACAGGCCTGAACATTTTCCAAAGGGGCTGTGGGTGAAGCTCTTCTGCGTACACTTCAGTACAGCCTGAGAGCTTGATCCAAGTCCCTTTCGAGTCAACGAGTTTGATGTCAATGGGAGTTGGATTGGGTGCTAGGAGATTACCAGGAAGGACAATATAGCCACTAACCATAGAGGAACCCAAGTGAAGGCTGACCAATCTGTCCTTAACTTGGACCTTGGTTTTTGTATGTGCCAGTAGGTTTTAGGGGATAGGGTTTGGGAGGGCAGATGAGGGGAGAAGGTTGACTTGGGTGTTTTTAGAACAGCTTATACAAAGATGAAAGCTTCAATCCTATGTGTTTATACACACTGAGTCAGATTTCCAAGACAACTCAATATGTTGGGTATTGAACTTTTTTTGAAATAAGTGTCACAGTGGGAACTGCTGGATGCTGAGCTGTTTTGGAAATCTGGCCCCAGTTCTGGCTAGAGAGCTCTTGAAAACCTAGCCCATTACCTATATTGGCCACATAGCTGATAATAACTAGCCACTTCTCTGTAATGAGCATACATATCTTTTTTTAATGCTTGTACATCTTTCTATGGATAATATATCCCATGATTTGATAAGCCATTTATGAATCTGAGTGAAATTATGAGAATTCCATTCTGAAGCTCATACCACTCTGGTTACTTCGTGAAGCTAGCCTGGTGCAAAAGAGAGCATACCAGTAAAGCATCCCAGAAGGAAATAATCAATGCTTATTAAAATATTAGAGCAGTGAAATATCATCACTTGGCTGTTGTCAGTTGTTTGTCACCCTAACATTGCTTAAGAAGAGTTTTTTGGTACCGGGTATGCATGGTGCTGATTGAAATGTAATAGGCTCTTTTTGAGTTTTTTAAAATCCTTTCTAATGGCCCAGTCCTACTCACCCTCACTCACAAGAGATGTCTCATTGAAGTCAGTGGGATTATTCATGTGAAAAGGGTTTGCAAGATTGGATCCTCAAGGTGGAATGCCCAAGGAAAATTGCACTGTAGTTGTAATTTCCCCAACTGGAACTTCTTTTGTGTTCCTTGGATGAATCCACTTGTTTTCAGTGGTGCAATATTTTGCATTGTATTGATATCAGCAGGCTTAAATTGGGGTTTAATGTACAGATATTACAAGAGCCTATATCTTGATAAGGTCACTGGGAATGATCATTTGTTCTACTTTGTAGTCAAAGTCCTAAACCTACATTTCATTTTTCTTTTGCAGTCTGTCTCTCTCATGCCATTTTCCTGCCTTTTCTCCCCAGTTTCATACAAGGAATATGTACCCAGGAATGTAGAGGAAGGAAATTTTATCTTTTTCCAAGCAGGTATTGTATGCAGTATACCTGAATCCTCCTCCTAGTCCAATGGGGACTGTTAGATTACTGCCATTTTAGGGCCTGGTTTTGCATCTCTTTGCCTCTGCCCAAGAGAGAACCAGGAATGGACTAGCAGGGCTTTTGGAAGTCAGGACTGAGGAGCATAAGCAAAGCTATGTTGGGAAGGTTGCAGTGTGCCCCCTATACTACCCCTGGCTTACGTCAATACTGTTGTCTCCTCACTTTCGTAAGTACCAATGTCACTTACCAATTAAAAAAAGATTCATATGTCAATACTTACTTTAAGCTTTGTCGCCTAAGCTTTATTGTAAAGTTTCCTCACATTTCTTATAGAACTAGTGTATGCTGATGTTCTGCCTTTGGGCAGCAACACATCACTTGATTTGCAAGTGCAAACCAGAGACTTGTGTTTTGTCACTCTGCTATTTGTGGCTTCATGTAATTTTAGTGGGCTTTTTGGAAACTCTAGGAACTCTTGCAGGTTTCCGTTTTCTTCTGCTCCCTCTCTCCTTCCTTTTTCTCTCTCCACTTCCTTTCCCTCACTCACAGCTACCTTGATCCTTTTTGATAACTCTTTCTTCTCTAAAATCCCTACCCTCTGATGTTACATGTATGGCTACTTTTTGAAGTCAGTATATTTGCCTTAATATTTATATATACATAGGCTGACTTGGTGGGATATCATATGTAGTTCAGTGTGTACAGGCTCGCATATCATATGTAGTTCAGTGTGTACAGGCTTGCAGGGTAAAGACTATATCATTCTCCCGATTTTCCCCAGTTAGACTAGGAATTGCAGTTGCCTGTGAGTTTGTTATTACCTTACAGAAGGCTCCCTGCAGTGAAGAGTGGCTGGGAGGAGGATAGAGCAGCAAATACCTTGTATTTCTGCATGACCTGACACAGCTGAGCTGGCTTACTGCTGATTATGACAATGAGCAGCAGTGGCAGGGCTTTACTGGCAGAGAATGCTGCAGCAACATTATAGCCTCTTGCCATTAGTGTCATTATGCCCACAAGGACAAAGCATGGGAAAGGGTAAAAATCATCTTTAGCCGGACCAAGATTTTTCCCTTTTTGTGTAAAAAGTTTTAATAGTGAATCAATGGATCTCATTATGAGGTGTATTCTTCTCTCATGCACATGCCTGTAAATCCAAGGCGTTTGGAGTGGCATTGCACATGCCCACCAAGAGGTGCACGTAAATCTCTTTGTGTCCAAAGTGAAGGGAAACCCCACTGATAAGACTGAAATGATGCTTCATTCTGGGCTTCAAATAAATATAACCATCATTTATACAGCCCCTTTCACCCCAAGGATCCCCAAACACTCTAACCACATGTGACCATTTATGTGCAGGAGTCATCTCACCCACCCCTCAACTACAGCCATCTCAGGAGTGGAATATGCAGCTATATAACAGTGCACAGGAAAAATGCACAACAAATCAAGACAGGAAATGAACAAGAATACTGTTGTTAGAAACTGAAGTGGAAAATTAGATTGGAGGGGAGGGGGTTTTACTTTCTGAACCAAAACAGAATGTAACGGATATTTGGGATTGGTAGCTAAACAGTTCACCTCGGACCTGATCCAATGCCAGCGGAAGAAATTGGGAAAACTGATTTTAATATGCACCCGACATCTCATTTATAAAGTCTGTTTGATTTCCCTGAAAAAGAAACTTTCTGCCAAATAAGCCCATTTATTTTCTTCTTGTCCCACTGGAGACAGAGCTAACTGTGACACCGCATCAGAGAAGTGTCATTTAAACTAAACTGTTTCCTCTGTTTATTTTTTAACAGGCTCATTTCATTGCACTGAGAAAAAGCCCTTCTTCAGGGGAAGCAGCAGAAACTGCTCACTTGGTGGCACGGGCTGCAGTTTCCTCTAAACGACCAGAGCACTATGGTGAATTCCTTTTAAAGGTTATGAATGGTTACCATGCTGTCCTGCTTGTAGGAATGCACATTTCAGTAAATGCTGCACGCTGTACCACGGTAGATTTAGTCCCTCTTGCATTGTTTGCTTCATTTTGCAGACTTTGTATGACTGTGACGTCGTTTCTCAAGGCATACCGGATGCTTTTGATATGTATCACCCTCCACTTAATCCTTTGCCTTTTATGAGCAATAGCTAAATCACCAGAGGGAGTTACAGAGGCAGCCTTGAAGCCACAGAAGATGTTATAAACCGACGGCAGGCATTTGCCATTTCTTTCTAACGTGTTTATCCATCTTTTAAAGTCATTAGTGAGCTGCAGCCACTGCTATGACTGAACCAGTAAGTGTGCTGACTGCAATCTCTTTCCATTCCCTTGCTGGAATTCTTACTTTGCAATTTGAAGTGGCCTCAAGCTATCAATCAGTGTGTGCAGCTGTAGCTATACAAATTTGCTGTATCCAAAAGCCTGGGCACAGGGTTGCTGCCATCAAATTTTAAAACCCTACCATTTATTCTTTGGGACCCTGCCACTGAAAGTTTTCTGTCCTGATTTAGTATTCTGCTATTCTGTTAGGATTCTTTCAGTTCTATCAGTTAATAATAACCTAGTATTTATAGATTTGGTTCTCAACCAATGGTACACATACCCCTGGGGGTACACAGAGGTCTTCCAGGGGGTACGTGAACTCATCTAGATATTTGCCTAGTTTTACAACAGGCTACATAAAAAGCACTAGCAAAGTCAATACATACTAAAATTTCATACAGACAACGACTTGTTTATACTGCTCTATCTACTATACACTGAAACGTAAGTACACTATTTATATTCTAGTGGATTTATTTTAGAATTATATGGTAAAAATGAGAATGTCAGCAATTTTTCAGTAACAGTGAGCTGTGACACTTTTGTATTTTTATGTCTGATTTTGTAAGCAAGTAGTTTTTAAATGAGGTGAAACTTGAGATACACAAGACAAATCAGACTCCTGAAAGGAATACGGTAGTCTGGAAAGGTTGAGAGCCACTTTTTGTAGAGCATATTGCATGTTCCTTGCACTTGAAATATTTTCTACTTAATTTTCTGTAAATGCTGGATGCACACTAATCAGGTTGACATGTAAGGCCATCCACCCTAAACTCTGATTGGCTGAGAGTTCAAAACTGTCATTAAGGTACATTGATGGAGCCTCAAAGCCAGAGGCATTGATACAGAGCTAGAATAAAGAGGATTTGACTCCCAAGAGGGATGTTATTCAGTGAATCTGAAATACAGCCTGGTACAGAGAGCTCTATACAAGGCTCTACATATCACTTAAGCCTCATGTTATAGCCATAAGTGCAACATAGGAGCACAGATCCACATTAGAGGGGTGAATTTCACCCAGAGGGAATTTTAAATGTGAGAGTTTAGAACATGGGAACAGAAGTCTATTGTTCAGTTATTGTGAAGTGAATTCGAGGAGGTATACGGAAGGTTTAGAAATGACCAGGGAGATCCAGGACCTTGCAATTTCTAGAAAATACCTTTATCTGATTTCCGATGGAGACTGAATGACTAAGACTGGCTCAGAGTAACAGATAGGGCCACCTACTCTAAGCCATACACTGACTATCCATTTCGAGCAGATCAATTACATACAATGTGTGGGGAGAAGATATTTTGAAATATAAAATTACTTGTGCTCAGTGTTTCAATGGTTTATAAAGTGCTGCTGGTAAGTATTCTCATGCATATTTTAAAAGGCTATTTCAGGTGACCAGAATGAAGAAAGCCGTGCAAGACTTTGGGATGGCAGGTTTATAAAAGGAAAACAAATGAGGGGAATAAAAAACTCTTTCCAGCAGTCGTCAGCTATCCCAGCCCATATAATGGGCATTAGGAATATGTTCAGTGCTTCCTCGTGACCCTGAATTAACAGGATGTGATCTGTTTGCAATTCCCTTGGAATGATCTACCTCAACCCTTAGTTGAAGACACCAATTATCCCCTATCGGTTCAGCTATTATTTTAAATTACAAAGAAATTAAAGAGGCAGGAATGTATATTCCTTATGGGGAAAGCAAATTCCTGCAGTCTCATCCTGGTTTACACATTAACCAAATTTGAATACTTGCATGCCCCATCAAGTCTTGCAGCCTTTGAGACATTTCTTTTTTGTGTGTTTTTCTGCACCTTTCTCTTTCAATTTTTAATTTCTTGCTTATAAAACTGAGTAAGAAAGTATGACAGTATTGTCATTAAAAGTTGAAATATTTTTTATTATACAGAGCAAAGAAAAGAGCTTGGATCTCTTTCAGCCCTGTGGCCTTGATTCTTCCCTGCATCAGGAGTAAGCCTAGTGCCAGAACTGAGGGGGCAGCAGTACTTCTGTCCTGGGACTGCCAGGGCTGGTTCTGATCCCAACTCAAGTTTGGACATGCCTGAAGGCTGGCTTAATTTGTGCCATATCTTCAATATCTGGGGCATGGCCCCGCCTACCTTCATTCTGCTCCACCATGCCCCCAGCTCTGAGGAGGCTCCCTGTGTTGGGGTTATTTCCCAGGTGTGCTTTTTAATTGTGGCCCTTTAGTCTCTGGACGGGGGACACTGCCAGACATGCCCAAGTTGCTGCTTTGAATGTGGGCATGGGATCCAAAAGTTGGTTAAGCTACCAACATTTTATGATTACAAATATTCTAGCTACAGATTACTAGTCAGCCCTTCTCTGAGCAAAATACAATCATGAAATTATCCATGTAAAGATTTCTTAAGTGCCTTTACTTCTTGGAACTATTTACAAATATTAATGAACAAATGAAGAACTGCCTTAAAAAAGAGTAACAAAAGCTATTGCTCTTGTTTCAGCCAGATTACCCTTTTATTGTTAGGCAGAGTGAGGAAAGGGGGAGAAAATAACCAAATACTGAACAGATAAACGTGCTTTAGATCATGCCCTGAAGCTCAAAGGTCCTGAGCTCTGGCGAACAACCACTTCCAAAGGTGAGAGCCCTGTGCTGACAGAGTTTTGCTGTCAATCATAAAAAAAAAGTCAGTTATAGGATCTAGCAGCCAGAATGTCCTGGCTGATCTTAATTAATGTGATGGAATATGTGAGAGGTGATCTCACAGGTCCAGACCCAGACCATTGAAGACTTTCAAGATTGTAATCAAAATTTTGAATTGCACCCAAAAGCAGTTGAGTTGCCAATGCATACTTGAGCATAGGTGGACTAATAACTCCTTTCACTCAGAAGGTGGCATCTTTCTTAGCTGAAACTTCCAGCTGTTTTTCAAGAATAGCCCTAACAATTGCATATGGTGGCTGTCTAGCTTGGATGTGACAAAGGCATAGATACCCATTGTGAGGTCACTTATCTCAGCCCTCACCTACATCACTATGACATTTTATATTTTTGTTCTAAAATACTCTAAGAAAATAAAATTCAGAGCTAGAAAACTTACCCCAGCCTATAGACTATAGTTTACTTTTACAATTCCATGGCAGATAAAATATCATTTCAAATTTTACATCCTCTATTGGGTACATGCTTTTTGAAGTCACCTGCTTCATATAAGAAGAACCTATCACAGGAACAGCTACATAATAGGAATTTTGAGCCTGTTTCCTCAAAACACCCCATCTATGTACAGAGTCTAGCAAGGGAAAAAATTGCTCAGTGCCCACTTCAATTCGTTTCCACTCTGTTGGCCTGCACAGTGATACTAACCTGGCTAGCTTGCCAGTGCAACCAGTGTCAACCTTTTATACTAACACTTCTCCCCAGCACTGAAAGGCATTCAAGATATTTGCGTTTTGTTTATAGCTTTTTCCATAAATGATATTCAGATAAAATAGCTTTTGGGACAACATGTACTTCAATGTAAACCTTCAAAGCCTGATAGCAAAAACAGAGCTGCACACAGGCAGCCTTGTTTGGAATTGTTTCCCTCTTTGCTTTGCAATGCTTGAGCCCCTTCCAGGCAGTGTTCTTTAAAGAGTATTTGAATACAGAGTCTGTGCATCACTGCAGACACGAGGCAGAGAGACCTTTCTTTAACTATGCCATTCCTTCCAAGCATGCAGTTGCCACAGTTTAGTAAAAAGCTAACATCACAAAAAGTTAGCTGCAGATTTGAGTCACACTAAGTATTACTTCAGGATAGGTTCTATTTATTGTACACTTTCAGATTTTAAATGTATGTATATCTATAATATATCAAAGGTGCTCTGCTTAGATATGTCAGTACTTTCCACTTAGTTTATGGTATAAATTATGGCTTTAACAAAATATGACAAATTTATACACATTTATAATTAATCTACTGCTGATAAATTGCACTTATATAGCACTTTTCCTCCAAGGATCTCAAAGCACTTCATAAACACTCTCATGCCAGTATTTAGCCTTAGATGGAGTTTACCGCCAGCTTTAGGCTGCATTCCCAAGCAGCCCAACTCCAAAAAGACCCAGTCCCGGCGTGCCGGGGGCCACTACTGGCCTCACGCCATCCACGGGCACCTCTTAATGGTTTCACGCCAGGACCGGGTCTTCTTGGAGTTGGGTTGCTTCGGAATGCAGCCCAAAGCTGGTGGTAAACTCCATCTAAGGCTAAATACTGGCACAAGACCGATAATCAACAAGTACCATAAGGGAAAGTTGAAAAGAACTTTATAAACACTAATTATTTATGCCTTAATCTTGTTACTTATTTTACCCATCTTCGAGATGAGTAAACTGAGATTCAGACCAATTAAGTGATTTGCTCAAGGTGTCACAGCAAATAAGTGGGAGAATTGGGAATAGAATTCAAGAATCTTGACTCCAGTTCCACTAGATCACATTCCCTCCCAAAAGTATATATGTGTATAATACTAATTTTGAGACTGTCTTCAGATATTTAGTATGTTCATACCATGAACATGTTCATATTCAATATTATTGGTTTTCAGCCTTTTGTCAGAGATCAAATGTGGTAAGGTTAT